GAATTCCAGGTTTTTCTCATCACAAAGAAGTGAATGAAATTTGCAAAAAACAGTGGCAAAGTTTATTTGAAAAAGTGAAGACTGAGAGAGAAACTGCCTCTGCAGAGTGAGCTTGCGCCAAGTAAAAGGAAGAAGACAAAAGTACACCCTGGAGAAAGCAGGGCTGTCTGTTATAAGGAAAAGTCATGACAGCAAGCTCTTGGTGTCTGTGTCTTTTTATGCTATCCAAATCTTAAGAAAACCGTGGGAACTTCTACATCCTGACCTTGAGAGGCAGTGCTGGGATCCCACGGCTCAGGCTGAAATCTGGTCTGGGCATCCCATTGAAAACCTGCTCAAGTTGTTGAAGGAAGTTCATGTGCAGGACTTTGAGAACTATTCTGCCCATTTGTTCCCAGATCTTGTAATTATAGGTCACACCTACTTCCCCAGCCAGTTTTGCATGCCCTAATCTATGTCACTGACACTTAGCATAGCCCAGGCGAACTATAGTCAAGGGTTTAAAGAAAAACTTCTCTTGGTAAATAGATTTATTAAAACAGAATAAGATGAAAACAAGAATAGGAGGCCTGCTGGGAGGTATGTTGCTTTTGTTCAGCTCATATAGCACCTGGTATATTTTGCTTAGTAGGTCAATAAAATAACCATACAAAGAAATGGAAGGTAATGAAATAGCTGCAATCTGTTCACATCACTCCTCCAGTTCATGGTGTGGGTCCTGAGGTTTGACTGATATTTGGCTTTCATCATGAGACAGAGGAAGAACCTCTTGATGCTACCTCAGAAACCCTGAAGAATACTTCATATAGATAAAAGGCTATTTCTACAGGTGCCGCACTCCTCAGACTGTCCAAAGTCTTGCTGCATTCCTCAGAGCTGTGGACCCGAGCTATGGTTTAAGAAGATGGGATCTGGTGCTTCCAGTAAGGGAAGAATTGGAAGTGATCCCTTTGTCTGGTATTCATACCTCTGTCTCATTGGCCTGGACAAACTTATCATCTCTAAATTTAATGTTTATTCCTCCACCCTATACTAAAATAGTACACCTTAGACTTTTGGACAAAGTTACAATTTTAAATATTTTTCCCATTATCTTCCAAACTATGACAATATTTATGCAGAAGCATTGGTCAGAGGTATGTATGAGATGGATATGCAAAGGCAAGGAACTCTTGGAGCCACACATCCAAAACCTCCCAGAATGCATGGTTAGAAATAAAAAAAATACCCCAGAGGGCCCCAAGTCCAAGTAGAATGCTCTGGCACTCATCTCCGCATACTCCTACTTATTACTTAGATTGGCCCTAAGATCAGTTGTGTAGCAGGCCACTCGGACCTTCCCTTTGTCCCCTATTTTTTGTCCTTTATCCTTGCTTCCTGGTTCTCTCAACAAAAAGCCATAGAAGATTCAGTTCAGGGCTGTCTTTAAGAGGCTCTCTCACATTAAGAGGTCTTGGTTAAGGGCAATCTCTGGGCTTCTTGGAGTTTGAATTGCACATTGACTCAGCGTAGTCTCTCATCCTTTGTGTCATGCCATGGTCATGAACTGTGACTTTACATCCAATTTATAAATTACATGAAATGTAATTCTATCCTGAGTATTCAAAACTGTCTAGCAAGCAGCTTCATTCTCTTAGTATTGGGGTTATCTCTTGTCCATTAATTTAGCTGCTTTGTAATCTAACGCTAATTCTGAATCACATTTAAATAAAATAAAATTGCATTCCAAGTTCCAATAAATGCGAGTGCTTTAAATATGTCTCCTTTTCAACTAAATTGTAATATTTACAAATATATTCACTTTTACATAGAGTACCTACTATTGTTACTGGATTTGGGGCTGCTAGAGTCTTCTTTTGGAGGTGGTTTCTAGGCTTTGTCCTGAGCAAAGATTAGGTCAAGTCAAGCACAAATAGTACCAAAGTTTTATTAAAGGTAGAAAAAGAATTAAGACTTGCAGAGCTAATTTGGACCAAGTAAAAGTAGGAAAAGTACAACCTACACTGTGAGGACATGGCACTGTGTAATCAACCGCAGTGGCCAAAACTCAGTGATGATTTGTCCTTTTTGTACCATCCACTTCCCAGGCTGATGCCAGGTCTAGACCATCCTATGAAAAACCTGTTCAAATTCTCAAGAAAAGTCAGCATGATGGTCTTTGGGAACTGTTCTGCACCTGTGTTAGGGGATTTTGTAATTAACAGGTCACACCTACTTCCCCAGCCAGCTTTGCCATGCCCTAATCTCCTGTGTCACTATGAATTAGGGCCTGTGTTAGAGTCAGCTCCTCTCAACGACTTTACAATCCAATCTAATTATTCAAAAATGCAGTCAATTAATTAAGGAATACTGCTGGCTGTGGTGGCACACGCCTGTAATCCTAGCACCCAGGAGGCTGAGGCAGGAGGACTGCTGTGAGTTTGAGAACAGCCTGAGCTACACAGTGAGCTCCAGGGCAGTCTGAACTACGTAGTGAGACCCTGACTCAAAAACAACAACAACAACAAAAAAAAAATTAAGGAACATTATTCCAACCAATCTAAATCATCTACAAGAAATCATGTTAGCAACAGTGTGGGGGGTGTAGGAGAAAAGACAAAAATGAACATAGCCTTCCATACAAATAGGAGCCTACTCTAATTGAACACAAGATGCACATTTTTCATTAAAATTTGGTTTCCTTGCCAATAGCTTCAAAAGCCAAAAACACAATTTTCAACTTAGAGAAGACAGTTCCTCAGGCTTTTTAGCTGTTCAGTTGATCTGGTTACAGTTATCTTAAATTCAACAACTAGATGGTCGTGTTACCCTGTGGTGGATTCAGACAGATTACAGGTTCTTATATACAGCACACAATGAATTACAAATGGCACACATGCTTGTGGGGGAAAAGTAGCTAGGTTTACTGAAGGTCATGAACAGAGAAAAGGAACAAGGTAAGCTGTGCAGGCAAATCTGGCTCTTATACTCAAGAGCAAGAGGGAGAAAAGGGGCTTGCACCCGCTTTGACCTGGGCTTTAAGTAAATGCTGCCGAGGTGGGTAGAGGAGAGTTATTAGGGAGGGAAGGATTTAGGGTGGTGTTCGAGCCCAAATGAGTAGAGGGGAGTGAATCCCCCCCAATATCCTATCTGTACTAGTAGGAGTCTTTATTAAATTAAAATACTTTTACTACACCCTTGTAGACAAAATTTGTCAGTTTATCCATTTCTTACACTATTGTGTCCTTTCCTTCATTTCATAGAATATGCAGTTCTATTCTGAGTATTCAAAACTGTCTAGCAAGCAGCTTCATTCTCTTAGTATTGGGGCTGTTTTGTCCACTAATTTAGCTGATTTGTAATCTAACGCTAATTACATTTATTATTACATCACATTTATTTTTCTCATTTTACATTACTTGTTACATACCTGTTACTTTGTTTTTTTAAACAGATGCCTGCCAGACACTTCCAAGTTTTTAAAAAAGCCCATCTGTGGAATGTTAAAATGATAAAACATATCCTTCCATGACCCTGACGCAACCAAAAATTAGCTTGGCTGTGGAGTAAGTCATAAAGTTTCTCATATAAAAATGACTGACAAAAAAAGCTACTATTTAGGAGGAAAGCAATTTAATATAATTGACCAGACAATGACAATAACCTTAAGTATAAGCCTGCTTAAAAAAGGAAAACCAACTAAGCCGCGCATGCCTGTAATCCCAGGGCTCAGAAAGCTTGAGAAGAGGGATTCTCACTACACAGTGAGTTCAAGCCCAGCTTGGACTATAGCGAGACCCTGTGTTCAAAAAACCTGAAAATAGACAAAAACAAAAAAAACCCAACTAAGTATTTCTCTCCTTTCTAGTGACTACAAAAATACAAAATGTAATTTCGAAAAAGACTAAATTTGGGGCAAAGTTGAAAATACCTTACTTTGAATTACTAAAGTCAGTAAAAATTTTCCTAAATTGCAGTTTCAACGTTATTAAGGCCGAGTTCTTAAACTGACGGTTAATTTGAGCTGTATCAAATCACAGAGCCACAATGGAACTCTCAAATTCATTCCCAGTCATTGTAATTTAGAACAAAAACCACGAAAGCACTTTTACAATCAAAATGGGCTCAAAGACTTCGATATGAATTACTTTTTTTTTTTTTTAAGCAAGCGCGCGTAGAGAGGGGCTGATTTCTAGCGCAGCTGCCCCCACACTTCGAAGCCCGCTTTGTGACCCTTCAGACTTTACACGCCCAGGGTCCAGTCCGGCCCGCGGGCGTCCTCAGGACACAGGACACCAGGGGCCCATCTCCAAACCGAGAGGTAAAGGGCGGAGCACCGAGACCCGCACACCTCCAGGGCACATAAGCAGATTCTGGGCTGTTTAGCGAGGCGGCGCTTGGGTACAGAGACAGGTCACTGGGCTCCCGTTACTCTAAAACGACGCCACCGCGAACAGGTTCAACTCGAAGCCCCGAGCCCGCCGCCAACCTGCCCAGGAACTCGCTGTACCACACGCCCCGCGCCACGCGAGCCAACGCCCGCCCA